CACTCCCGACTTCCCCGTTGTTCTTGCCGCCTGCGTAGGCAGATGTCTTGCATTTCCACAGTTCAGACTAGATTATTTAGCCCCCCCCCCCCCCATGGACCCCTCTAGCCTGGACTGTTACATGGAGTAATCCTGTCAGGGATGGGCAGCCCTGCACAACCCTCAGGAACCTTACAGAAACCCCAGAACCTTACAGTCAGCGCAGCTCCGGAGCACATCTGTGGATTCTCATTGTGTAGATCAGACTACAGTCAGGGATAACCTTGAACTCAGGATCCTCCTGCCTTTGTCTCCCGAGCCTAGGACTGCATCACTACTGGCTTAGATGTGGTTTTGTTTGTTTGTGTGAGATGGTCTCACTGTGTAGTCTTGGTTAGCCTGGAACTCCTTACTTAGACCAGGCTGACCTGGGACTCACAGAAATCCACCTGCCTCTGCTTCTCTCTCCCAGTGCTGGGATTACAGGCATGGGCCATCATGTCTGGCCTTAGATATGTGTTTAAATAGATGGATCCTATTTCTCTTTTTATCTTGCCTACCAGGACTCTCAGAAACCTCTTTCATGGACTGCCTTCTTTATCCAAAACATCAGTACATATTTTATGGATGTGACTCAATTATAGATCCCCCTTCCCTCATCTATATCTATCTATTTACCTATCTGCCTGCCTATCTATCTATCTATCTATCTATCTATCTATCTATCGCATGTATATCTTTTTCTTTGATTGTTTTTTGAGACTGGGTTCCTCTGTGTCGATCTAGCTCTCCTGGACCTCACTCTGTAGACCAGGCTAGTCCTGAACTGGGAGGGCTGGGATGGGAGGCTGTGCGCCAGCACCAGCTACATGTAATTGCCATTTTTAAACTCTGCTTTATTTGGGTTCCTTAAAGCCTCAACCTCCCTTCCAACCCCCAACCCTAGGTAGGAGAGAAAGGTTAGTGGGGAGAGGGGGCAGAGTTCTCTTTGGTTACTTTCTGCTGTTAAGGATTATTGGTTTTTTTGGGGCAAGTCCAATCTTGGTTTCAGATCTCCTACTTCTTGTCAAATGGTAACAACAGCGACCAAGAGCAGCAGAGGGAAAGCACCAGCCTTCTTCCTTGGAGCCCCCTCTTCTCTCTGGGCTCTGACATTTATTTCCTGTCAGAGTCCTCAGAATTAAACTACCTGCAGCTGGCAGAGCCCGCACAAGGCAAACACTGTGGACCAACTGAATCAGCCCCACATCCCACACCTGGGACCAAAACAAAAACATGTTTATGTAACATAACTGAGTTTTTTAAAGGCACCAGAACTTCCACTACAGCTATGTATACCTTAAGATTTCTTTTAGATTTGAGAGGGTTAGGGAATCAAACTACCCTGTGAAAATGTCTATCCTTATTGAATACATGATATATATTCGTTGAGTGTGAGCCAAACATGGCTCTGCCCATGAGTAGCAGGCTACGTAATAGTAGTAACAAGACAGAGCATGCACCCGAGGAAAGCCCTGGGCTCAGTCTGGGGGACCCAAGTGAGTGGCGGCGGTGGGGAGTCCGTGCCGCCCTCCAGGCCCACTCCAATAGTGCTGTCTAGTTCTTTGGCCTTTTAAGCATTTGTATTTGTACCTGTGAGGGCACACGCATGTGCCACAGCTCATGTGGAGGTCAAAGGACGAACGATGAGTGCATGTGGGTCCGAGGGCTCGGATTCAGGTTGTCAGGCTCCTGTAGCTGCTCAGCCATCTCCCTGCCTTTGCTTTTTTAGTGCTGTCTTCATAGACTCCTATACAGGGCCAGGCATTAGCAGCACGTGCATTTTATCCCAGCACCAGCGGAACAGAAGTAAGCGGATCCGTGAGCTCAAGGCCAGGCTGGTCTACAGAGCGAGTTCCAAGATAGCCAAGGCTACATGAAGGCAGTGTGATTTCCTTCTTAGTTTCACACAGGCTGTGCTGGGGTGTTCTGGAGGAGCAGGTCTCAGAGGCTGAGCAGCTGGGAGATGGCGGAGCCAAAGCCAAGCTCTGGCCTCTTCCTGGTATTTGGTGGAGTGTTGAAAGGGCAGAGGACTCTGACCTCTAAGGGGAATGGAGTCAGAGCAGAAATGACATCAACAAAATCAAAGAAAGAAGACAAGGTTTAGGAGAAGCATCTCATGGTGCTGACTTCAAGCATGGTTGTTGAAGAGCTAACACAAAGTCCCAGAAAACATTGTTCCTATTGCTTTTTTTGTTTGTCTTCGCTCTGTCTCGGAGCAGTGGGATTAAAGGCTCCGCTGCCACCCTGTGTTTCCATTTCTTCCCTCTGTTTCCTTGAGTCTTGTGTTATCTCAGTTATTGGCCCTCAAGGCATTAAAACAGCCATGTGACGCCCTACTCACCTTCTTACAGTTTAGACTCCAAACGGGGAGAAAGAAATTCATGCTTTCAACCACTCAAAATAAAGCCTTTTATTTGAGACCAGTCATTAGGCAGGGTTGTCTGTTTGTCTGTCTGTCTCTGTCTCTCTATCTCTCTCTGTGTCTCTGTCTCTCTCTCTCTCTGAAGATGCCATGTAGCCCAGGCTGATCTTGAACTCATCTCTTTCCTGCCTATTCCTTCTCTGTGCTGGGATTATAAGCACAGACCACCATGCCTGTATTTTTTTTTTTTTGTTTTTGTTTTTGTTTTTTGAGACAGGGTTTCTCTGTGTAGCCTCGGCTGTCCTGGCTTTGCAGACCAGGCTGGCCTCAAACTCACAGAGATCCGCCTGCCTCTGCCTCTCTGAGTGCCAGGATCACAGGTGTTCGCCACTGCAATGCTTGGCTTCTCATTCTTTTTTTTTTTTTTTAACTGAAAAAGCCATTACTTTTTATTAGAAACAATAATGCTTCTCAAGGTGTTGGCAACAAGGCAGAGTGTAGCACACATTTCGTACAGTGTATTCTCCCTTTAATTATATTCCAGAAGCGGGTGGGACACCTCCTTGGCTGTGAGAAGCTGACATATTTGATGGATTATGTAAGCTGGTCTCCTTGTACACAAGCCAAGCATTTCCTCCCCAAAGTATCATATTCAGAAAGCCAAAGATCACGGATACATTTAGGGATTCCATATTAGTCACAGAGATAAATTGACATTGTATTTGTGCGTTGTGACAAGGCTCAAGTTCTTTGATAATACTGTGTCCGGTAGCTATTTTAATATCTGTAAGGGCTTTAGCCCAGGCCGAGGCACTCACCAACCACAGAAAAGTGGCAAGAAGAGTAACAATAAAGTCAATCATGGGGAGTTTACGACTCTCCTGGTAGAGGTTCGTGTAACCAGCGCAGAGCAGAAGGGCAGCGATGCAGTACAGGAACAAAAGACTGCAAATGTGACAGGACTGTGCAGAAGAGGAGCAGCCACCTGTGCGGACACGGTTCCTCCAGGTCACATCACACCCTGGCATCTGAAGGACTGGGAAGTGATGCCTGAGTCACCCTGAATGGATAACCAAAAGTAGCTGTAACTGTCTTCTTACCAAGTTTAGGACAACTCACTTGAATTTCTGTTTTGCCCTTAAACCCTCCACAGGTGGCAAAAGCGAAGATAGAAGCAAAGCACTCGAGGACCTTGATGAAGCCGAGCGGCTCCTTGGGCTGGTTGAGGTTGACCTGGAAGGCGGACATCCTTTGAGGGGAAGAGAGTCAAGACTCAGGGCAGAGGAGGGGAGCGGCGACACCCTGGGTCTCATTCTTATCAGCCAAACTGGTCCATTTGCTATGGCCTCAAGTCTGACTGACTAGGCCTCACCTGCATGCCAGCACGGAGTGGAGCAACCACATGTCTGGGTTTCCTGAAAGAAACTAGAGGACTGTGGATAAGGGCTCCTGGAAGATTTGGCCCTTGGTACCTATGACTGGGGGTGGAGAATGCTTTGTGGGCAGGGGGAAGCAAGGAGGAGGACTCCAAAAGGGAGTAATGAGAAGGGACAGGGCAGCGCTGTTTGCCCTGTGAGTCAGGTGGGCTCTCTTCAGCCACTAGCTGTCAAGGGAGGTAGGCATGGATTCAGGCTCTGCCCTGTGGGGATGGATGGCAAAGCATGGCCCTTAATTGTGGTGGCACCCAGCAACAGCAAGACACCATGTAAGGCACACACTAGGTGCTCAATAAATGCAGATTCTAGCTCCTCCCCCAGAGACATGAGGACTGTGCTCGGCAGGATTTTGAAGAACCACGAGCTCTTCTGGTGGATGTAGCGCTCCCTGAGAACTTGCAACAACACACAGGAACCTCAAAGGGACCCATCAGTGGGCTGAGGGAGCAGCGTCTTCCCTGGGCCACTCAGCCAGGAGGCACACAGGCTGGTGATCAGCTGCATGGCCCCCTTCCTGCTGGGAGGTAGGATGAGGTGATCTTGGGGACCTGTAACCCCTGAAAGGCCACCATCATCAGTGTATGGAGCCTCTGGAGAATTGGCTCTGCCCTTTGACTGTCTTTGTTTTTGTTTCTTTGAGACGGAATCTTACCCTGACTCATCTGGAACTTGTTTTTTGATCAGCATGGCCTAGAACTCATAGGGATCTGCCTGCCTCTGTCTTTTGAGTGCTGGGGTTAAGAGCATCCACCATTATGGCTGGGGTTGGTGCTGCCTTTTGAGGGCTTGCTTAGAGGGGACAGATATCAGGCTGGGAGGGCATTCCTGGAGCTGCTGGGCGCTCCCTTCAAGCCAGCCTCAAGGGCTGGCCTAGAGGCTCAGTGAAGTTCCCTCATCCCACCTCATCCCCCTACCCCACCTTCTCCACAGGTCCCTGCCACTGAGCAGCCAGGAGTGGACAGAAGGTCCTGGCATGGCCTCTGACTGTCACCATCTCCAGCTTCTCCAGCTTGCAGCAGAACCCCAGACTGGCTGTGGGCTTGCCTATCCTTCAATACTGCAACCTTGGGGCCTTGGCTGTCCCGGCTACCCTGGCTGCAGCGGTGCCTTCTGAGGAGGTGTGGTCTCTGCATGGTTAATGATTGCTCAGAGGAGGCGTGGATGGTGCCAAAGTCTGCAGCTGTGTTCGCCGGCCTCAGACGGTACCCACCTGTGGCTGGCACACACCAGTGCCTCTGAGCCCCTTCCAGGGTCGTCCAGCTCAGCTGCCTCAGGGGCTCTTAGCCGGGGGTAAGCTGGGGTCCTTGGGATTGAGGCAAGTTTTGAAGTCTGAAAGATGCCTCATTCCCTGGTGTCTGGGGTTGGGTGGAACACCAGCGGGCAGAGCTGTGTATTAGCTGTTGGCCGGGTCAGGCAGAGGTGGACTTGAACTGATGAGGCTGCTGCTGAAGCCTGGTTTTTCTAGAATGTGGGCTAAGACCTCCTCTCCAGGCAGACCCTGTTCTGCCTTCCCACGTCCTTGGGGTATTTCAAGAGTGAGGGGGAGGGTCTTGGAGGAGGGTTCCCCTAGGAAGTGAATTCACCACCTCATCTGATATCCAGGAGGAGAAGATGAGGGTGATGGCTGAGTCTGGCCCCGAGCCTGAGGAAAGGCTGGCTCCTCTCTGCTCAGATCTTCCTTCAGCTCTAGGCAGACTTTGAGTGGGCTCTGACTGCTTTGGGCTCTCAGTCCCTGCCTCTGTAGGGCAGGTGCCATTACCAGGAGCCCCCAGCAAACTCATGAGGCAGGCAGGGTGAGGTATGGAGGCTGTCCCTCACAGACTCAGAGATCAAGGGCTGGACCACCGCTGCGAGGACGAACCGTGCTGGTCTGGACCCTAACTCAGTCCTTGTCCTGCTGACAGGGTGGAGCTCAGCCGGGTCAGCCCTTGTTCAGGTAGGACCTGCTTGCCGGTTGGCCCGAGGCAGCATTTCAGAAGACAGTGATGTTCTGATCCACATAGGCCGTAGCCTGCACTTATTCCTCAGAGGAGAACTGAAGCTGAGGGAGAAGGAGAACTGTTTGGTGCAGTAAATGAAATGCTGGAAGCCTGAGCCATACCTATGTCCCAAAAGAAGCAGCACCAAAAGTGGGCACTGTCTCTGGCTATGGGAACCCTGGTGTCCCTGGGGGACAGAAGCTTAAATAGCCCTGGGTCCCTGTCTTTGGACTAGACCACTTGGCTGGGCTGGTGTGATGGGGAGTGACCCCTGAGCGGGGCGCCTTGCCCAAAGCTGGTTTTTAACTCTATCCTTTGTTCTTGGCTGTCCCCCCAAACTGTTTTCTTAGGGTGATGAATGTTAACTGTACAATAGCCACTTCCTGGAGGCAGCTTCGGGAAGGAGGGAGAGAAAGCAGAAGTGAAAGAAGGGAGCTTAGGGAACTGTGGTGGCTTCGAGCCTGGCTGGAAGGGCTGCATGTCGGAGCCAAGGGCGGGGCTGTTGACAGAGGAGGGATTCCCTCTCTTGTGTCCTGTGCATTGACTTTCGAGCTCCCAGAAGCCCTGGGGTCCTCATTTCCAGTGAACTGATTTCTAGAGGCCTTTGATTTCCTGTTCCTGTGAGCTGTGGCTAAGGCATCCTCGGGGCTGAAAGGAGGGAGGTTTCCTGGGTCAGGCTGGGCAGAAGATGGCCTGGGTCTTGGGGTTCATAGCGTGACCTGGAGCTCCTGATGCCCCTTACACTTTACAGCATGAATATATGTTTTTACTTTTAACTGACACAAAGTGACTGAGCATATTGAGGAAGCCCAGCGCAGCATCTTCACATCTCATGGCTTGTCCCTCACAGCCACCCTGCTGTGTTGTGGCCTTCTGCCCAGCACAAAGAGTAGCTCCGCAGCCTGAAAGCAAGGACCTGGGAGTTCTAGGGCCTGGACTTGCTCTATTTCTTCCTCTCCTCTATCTCCATCCTCTCCATTCTCTTCTCTCTCCCTCCAGGCTTCTCTCTCTTCTTACAGGTCTGTCTACATAACTCAGGCTAGCATTGAGCTAGAGAGCCTCCTGCCCCCTGCCTCCAGCCTCCCGAGTTTTGGGATTCTGGCTGTGCCCCAGGCCCAGCTTCCCATCTCCTAGAAAAGCAAGCTGTATCAGAAGCAGAGTGGTCGGGCTCAGCATCAATGGTGTCATGCCCAAGTTGGACTTGTGGTCCTCCATAGGAGAAAAGGGTACCTGGGGGAGTTTCCTCAGCCCCAGCCCATGGGCGCCTCCCTCCCCTCTCCCTTATGTCCTATGTATGTGTTCCCTGACTGGGGCTCAGAGGCTGTAGAGAGAATTTGCACATGGGCAAGGGACACAAGACGGCCTCTAGAGCAGAAGAGACACATGCAGATCTAGAGTGGGGAGAATGCAGGGTGTGGTCTATGGACAGGATGCCACAAGAGAGGAAGAGCCACCTGGGGAAGGTGAGACCCAGGGCCCGTAAGGACCTAGCTTGCCAAGAGTGGGAAGTGTGTCCCATAGCCAGTGCGAGCCTTGGGCAGGCCAGGTCTTGGGAGTGTCCGTGCCCACTGAGGTGAAGCAGGTCGCCTGGTGCTTTCCTATATCACAGCACATTTTTCTTAAGTGATGGAAACGGGGAGACGATATGCCAGCTGCAGAACTTTGCCCTCATTATGATCAATGAATATGTTTGTGAAAAGTCACAGTGACAAAGGGGACAAGACTGGTCAACTTGTGCAGTATGGGGAGGAGGACTAGAAGGGCTCCTGGGTATGAGTCAGCATGGCCTCTGTGACCGCTGTGGGAAGGAGGACCAGAAGGACTCCTGGGTATGAGTTGGTATGGCCCCTGTGACTGCTGAGCAGAAGACCTAGCTTCCCAGAAGCTTAAGGCTCTCAATAGGCAAAAAAAAAAAAAAAAAAAAAAAAAAGCATCTCAGCCACCTCTCCTTCCAGGAGAGGGGGGACGGCACGTGTGTGTCTCTATGGGAGGGGACAGTGAGCAGGAAGGGGGCTGTGAGTGGAGGTCTTGGTGGCCATGGGGAATGAAGGTTCCAGCTTGGCTTCTTTGTCCTCAGCCTCACCTCTCTGGGGGTACTGGGTAGCCTGGGGGAAGTGTAGCACATGGGCGGGGGAGAATAAGGGAGAGGAGGAGGAAGGAAAGAGAAGGCCCTGAAAAAGGAAAGCAAAGATTTGTGCACTGCTGAGGATGGGGCTCAGGGCCTGGGTATGGCAGGCCAGTGCTCTACCCCCCGACGGACATTCCCAAGCCTTCTAAATTTTAGTTTGAGCCTGGCAGTGGTGACAAATGCCTTTAATCTCAGCACTCGGTGGCCAGGAGCAGGTGGATCTCTGAGTTTGAAGCCAGCTTGGTCTACAGAAAGTTCCAGGACAGCCAGCGCTACAGAGAAACTTGTTTTGAAAACCCAAAATCTATGTGTATATACATATACACATATACATATATAGATATACACATACATATATAGACATACACATACACATAGACATAGATATACACACATACATATAGATATGCATGTGAATGCACATAGACATATATGTATGTACATATATATTTTGAGGTACAGTTTTTCCAAGTTCCCAGGCTAGCTTTGAACTCTCAACCTTCCTGCCTCACCCTCCTAGTGGCTGGGACTACAGGCACACAACAGGCACCCATCACATACCCAGCTGGAGAGACGACGGGCTGCCTGCCTTTGGATTGGAGTCCTGGGAATGACTGTGGTGGGTTCCTTCCTAGCTTCTTTGCTAAGACACGATGATGGGTGCGAAGGGCCAGCCCAGCACTGCCCTTCCTCATCAGCTCCCGTCCCCATGCTGAGCGGGGTGGAGAAACTTCCTCCTTGGGAGGTCAGCTGACGAGCTTAGTGACAGGGATGAATCGTGCCCACCCCATCGACTGTTCAATCTGTGGCTGATGCTTTACTGGTGCTTTAGGCTCAGAGTTCCAGCCCAGTGGAGGTGTCAGGTCTCCCTGTGCCAGCCCCGCCAGCATGAGTCCCAGGACCTTCCTCACAGGGCACACGGCAGCACTCTGCTGCCCCCTACAGCTGCCACCACCAGCCCCACCTCGACCCACTCCCAATCACTCAGTGCTGTCCTCCATCCCGAACCACTGCCCCCGACAGAGTCTGACTCCATCCGTGGCAAGCCTGTCCCTCCCTGGGTGTGTACTCTGACCTCTACCTTCAACTTCAGAGCACGGGAGATAGAGTGGCAGGGAAAGCGCAGGCCCCGTGGTGCTGCCTCCAGGGAGAGGGTAAAGGCAGGGTGAAGGTGCCAGCACTGGCATAGAAGGAAGGGTTTCAGATCTGTGGAGCGCCTGGGAGCTATAGGCACAGGGGCAGACATGGAGCCGTCTGCAGAGCAGCAGCCCACTGGGGGGGCCAAGAGCCACCCACCAACACTGACCCTCACTCCATCTTCACCGGTTTTGGTTGCTTGGCTTTTTGCTGAGCGTCTCAGGCCTCTCCTTTCACTCTGCTGGAGATGCAGAGCCCCATACAGGATGTGGGGGCCCCTGGTCTTCAGTCTACTGATCTCCCCATTTCTGTGCGGCACCCTGTTTTCCTCTCTTGGGCCTATTCCTATAGTGGCTTCTCCAGGAAAGATTCAGAAGAGGTGCAACATGGGGTTCATTCTGCCTAAGACTGTGTGACCAACAGTTTCTGTGAGCACCGACAGAATTCTAGGTTGGAAATCATTTGTTTTCAGCATTTTGGAGAAATAGTGTTCTGACCACTACTCACTGCTGCTTAATAAAATGTTCCAGAGCACAGTGGCTTAACTGGCAATCTGTCGTTATTTTAAATGTATTTACTTTTATTTTATACACATTGGCATTTTTCCTGCATGTATGTCAGATCTTGGAGTTACAGAGAGTTGAGAGCTGCCATGTGGTTGCTGGAGTTTGAACCCAGGTCCTCTGAAAGAGCAGTCAGTGCTATTGACCGCTGAGCCATCTCTCCAGCACCAACAATCTATTATTATTAACACTGGTGATTCTGTAGGAATTTAGACTAGGCATAGCAGGAAATGTTCAACTCTGCTCAGCTATTTGGGGCTTCGGCGAGGATTTAGCAGTGAACTGGGCACAGGTTGGCAGCCACAGGGCTTCACGGCACTAGCACTGCCGAATGTCCGTGGGAGCCGGCCTGTGTGGCTGTCTCTAGCCTCTATGCACTAACCGCTGCTAGCAGCCCCCACATTTTGAGACACTTCTGCTCTTGGGGGTTGGAGTTCACAGAGCCTCTGTCACTGCTGTGGGGAGGGGATGTATCCATTATTATGATTTTTCGGGTCTCTTGAGAGCTGGTCTCTCTCCACTCTTGTCGTCAGCTTGAGTTTGCAGCGCTGCCCGCGGCTGCACGGCGGAGTCTGGGGAGGGAAGGTGCTCTATCTTGCTTGTCCCCACTGCTGCAACAGTGGGGAGTGGCCCTGGGTCGGGGGTGGCACCGGGAGGCCACACTGCAAGGTGACCCCGTGGAGACCCTGCCACACACAGTCCGGAATCTAGTTTTTGTCTTGTTTTCCCCTTCAGGCAGGTCACTTGAACTTTTGTATCATTATTTTCTGTGTCATGCAGGCTATGAGAAGGCAGAGCCTTGCATCGCCGGGCAAGCAGTCTGCCACCACCCCTGTGTTCTCAGGCGTCGGTTTCTGATTGTTGGTGGAGGTGCCATTTCATCATCGTTAGCCGTCTTTCATGCCACCCCACTTTACCATGGGTTCCTCTCCTCTGTAGTGTCCCCAGGTCGACACTGACCCAGACTCTGTGGAAGTGGACCTGAATTCCCCAGGGCAGAGGGTGGGGCAGCGAGGCCCCGAAGCCCAGCTCTTCTTGACTCTGCTTTCAGGGAATGCTGGACTTTCAGCGCCACTGGGGGTTAAGTCTTCTCCCTGGGATGCAGTCCCTGCAGTCCCCTACTCTGTTCCAAGTGTCACTGGCTTGAGAAGGGGACGCCATGCCAACAGCTCACGGACTTCTGGCACTTCTGCTGCCATTCCCGGGGGTTCCAAGAGGTCAGCAGAGGAGAGGCAGCCGGTGTAGGGCCACCTCATGGAGCAGGAAGCTCTCCTGCTCCCCACCTGGGCCTTTCCTCACCTCTCAGATCTTGACCTGCTGGGAGAGCTCTGTCGTCCCTCCTCCCCCACCACCACAAAGGTTATTGGCAAAGAACAGTAGCAATAAGGCCATTCGTTATGATACAGGCCTGTAATCCCAGCATTGGAAGGCTGAGGCTAGAGATCAGCCTGTTCCCAGTGAGACTCCCATTAAACACACACACACACACACACACACACACACACACACACACACACACACGATCCAGCCAGGTGTCTAGGTCTGGACTACACAGAGAGTTCCAGGACAGCCAGGGCTACATATAGAGAGACCCTGTGTTAAACCAACAAATAAACAAACAAACACACCAAAACAACAACAAACAAACAAACCTTCAATTCCAGCGCTTTTGGAGCAAAGGCCTGTAGATCTGAGTTTGAAGCTAGCCTGGGCCACCTAGAGAGTTCCAAGCCATCCAGAGCTAGAGACAGAGCCTATCAAAACAAACAAACAAAAACAACAACAAAACCCCAACCACCACCATCCTGTTTGGAAAGCTTGTGTCTGGGCAGGGCTCTGTGGGATGCTCAGACTTAGGCTTTGGTTCTGTACAGTTTCCTCAGGGCTTTGGCCCCTGGGTATTGACTATCAGACAGGAGTGCTGGGTAGCCAGTCTCTCTCTGACCTGCAGGAGCTCCAGGCTTGCTCCCCTCTAGGACAGCCCATTCAAAGCCAGCTCAGGCTTCCTTCCAAGCGCAGGCCTGTGTTCCTGGTTCAAAGAGCAAGGAGTCTGCCAGTCTTGTAGCCTTGGCAGAGGGCATCTCTGGCGCCACATCCTGATGACCACTCTTGTCTGACGTCATCATTGTTCTCATGGGATGTGTCCTAGTCGGGGTTGCAGCTGCTGTGATGAAATACCATGACCAAAAGCAAGTTGGGGAGGAAAGGGTTTAGTTGGCCTTATACTTCCACATCACTGTTCATCACTGAAGGAAGTGAGCTCAGGAACTCAAATAGGGCAGGAGGCTACAGAGGGCCGCTGCCTCCTGCTTCGCTCCCCGAGGCTTGCTCAGCTGGCTTTCTTATAGAACCCAGGACTGAGATGGCACCACCCACAGTGGGCTGGGCCCTCCCCCATCATCACTAATTAAGAAAATGCCCCACAGCCTCATCTTATGGAGACATTTTTCTCAGCTGAGGTCCCCTCCTCTCAGACGGCTTTAGCCTGTGTCAAGCTGACATAAAACTGTCTAGCACAGGATGCTAATGGCTCAGTAAGGAGGTGACTGAATGCTGACACAGACACTAAGAGCACTGAGAGCAAACGTTTCAAGAAGAAGCCTGCCACACAACGAAGCCCACGTGGGGCAGAAAGCGGAGGGAAGAAGGGAAGTCATGCCGGGGGCTTCCTTGTGCTTTCACGGGAAGAAAGGTGGAAGGGAGCCAGAGCGCAATCAGTCAGGATGTGTGGCTAATCTCTGGGTTCTCTGGCAGCAGCAGGAATCGCCCAGCTGTTTAATGCTCGACCCTAGCTTTGGTGTGAGACTGGGACACAGAAGGGTGGTTGTACTCTGTCAAAGGCGTGTCTGGAAGCCTTGTTTGCTCTCTCTGGAATTAGCTCCACTAGCTCTCCAGCCAGCCACACCCCAGACATGTCAGAGCATCATAAAATTCAGGAAACAAAAAGCCACAGTTAGCACACCTATTTCAGCCAGCACTCAGGAGGCAGGGGCAAGAGGATTGCCACAAGTTCAAAGCCAGCATGTTCTTCAGGTCATGTTCCAGGCCAGCTAGCCAGGGTGGTAGGGAGGCAGATAGTGTCCCCATTTCTGGCAGAGAGGAATGTCAAGAAATGAAACTATACTGCCTCAGACAACTTCTCTTCTTTGTGTTCTTGATTGGTAACTGCCCTCCCACCCCCGTGGGCTCTTCCTTCACCATAGATAAGCAGCAAACGTTTGGGAAGCCATCAGCTGGGCGAGGCCAGCCCTGCTTGTCTGCTCACCATGCATTGCCAGGTCTGGCAGGTGGCAGATGGTAGATGGCAGCCAGGACCTGCTGAGGAGTAAGCTGGGGCACTAATCATGTAGTGGGCCCTGAGACATGTCAGCAGACAGTGACAGTGACCAGACCTCTAGCCTCCAGCACATCAGGGTCTTCTCTTGGGTCGGGGAAAACTGTGTGCCTCAGTCAGCGTTTTATTGCTATGAAGAGATGCCACGGCCATTGCAACTCTGATAAAAGAAAGCACTTCCTTGGGGCTGGCTTTCCATTTCAGTGGTTTAGTCCATTTTCATCATGGTGGAGAGCATGGTGGCACACAGAGAGACATGGTCCTGGAGAAGTTCTACATCCTGATCTGCAGTCAGCAGAAAAAGAGTCACTGGCCATAGCTTGGGCTTTTGAAACCTCAAAGCTCACTCCCAGTGATATGCCTCCTCCAACAAGGCCATGCCTCCTAATTATTGTAATCCTTTCAAACGGTTCCACTCCCTGGTGACTAAGCATTCAAATATCTGAGCCTACGGTAGCCAGATCAATCCGAATCAAAGCAGAAGGCTTATGCTGGGTCTTCAAGTGGACAACAAAGAGGTGGGAGCCAGACTCCACTGTTGAGGGCTCACTGAGTGCAAGGGAGCTGCCATGGCAGTTTGGGGAGAGAGGGACCAGGAGTGGGCATACCAGCAGCAGGGGCAAGAGTTGAGCTTCTTTTCCTAGTAGTAACCAGTAATCTTTATCCTATTCTGGGAGCCAGCAGGGCAGTGCAGAGGTCACTGTGCCTTCCCTGCAGGGCAGCCAGGGCCAGAGGAGTTACACCCAGGCTCGGGGGTGCACAGACCATTCTGCTGAGTCTCTCGGTGCCCCGTATTAGCCTTAGGTAGCTTGGGATTCATGATATCATTCACTCAGTTCAGTAAGGAGGAGAAGTCAGCTCCGTCTGGAAAGCCATGAGGTGTGTGGACAGAAGGTGGGTTAGCAGGAGAGTGCCCAGGAAAGCAGGCACTTCTTGTGCAGACAGCAGAGTGGGGGCAGGAGCGACACAGATGTGGCTGGAAATGGAGGGGTGGCAAGGCAGAATGGCACGGGGGGATGTTAGCGATGACGCTAGGGAGGCCCACGGGGTCTCAGGAAGCTACCTTCTGGAGTTTGCACTCTGACCACTGGGAGCCATCACAGGGCTTTAAGAGAGAGATAGGGAATCACGAGGAGTTTGCTTGAGAGCAGGGAGTGGCTTTGGGTCCAGGGAGGCCTTGAGGAGACTGAGGAGACACTGGACATGGGAGGGAAGGTGGCTGATAGGGTATCGTGGAGAGGAATGGAGGAGGAACAAATTGGATTTGGCAGTTCTAGAGCAGAGAGGTGAAGTGGTGAGTTCCTGAGTATGTGATGGAGGACCTGAGCTACATGCTTCACAGCCATGATGCTTCTCTCCCCTGCTTTACTCTCTCCCCTCCTCCTTCTCTCCACTCCTCCCTCTCTCCTCCTCCTTCTCTCCCCTGCCTCCCTCTCTCCCCTCCACCTCTTCTCCCTTCCTCCCTCTCACCTCTCCTCCCTTTCTCCCCTCCTCTCTTTCTTCCCTGCCTCCCTCTCCCCCCTGCCTCCCTCTCTCCCCACCCACCTGGCCCTCGTAGATCCTGACTGGTGCCTTTGTGTGTGAGACAGGGGAGGTAGAGTGGTGGCTGAGGATGGGACTCTGGAGCCTCCTGTCGCTGTTTTCTGTGTGGCCTCTGGTATGCCACCGAGTCCACCCTGTACGTACAGAAACAAGGCCATCGCATACCCAAGGCACTTACGACAGCACCCAGCACTCAGTGGGTTAAGTGTGGGTTCGAGCACCCTTCCTACCCATGCCTTTCCTGTGCAAGATGGACAATGGACAGAGGGTGGTAGAGGCCCTGCGTGCAGAGCTGCAGAGTGAAGGCCATGGATAGCGTGGGGTCAGACCTAGGCAGGCGGGCTTTGCCAGGCAGGCTGTGCCCAACCACCTTACCCTGGCACCTTTTCTCTTAGGTCCCTTCAAGATGGCTTGGCTGTGGCTGCTCTGTGTACTACTTCCTGCCTTCATGGTACCTGGTGAGTGCCTCTCTCCCCTACAAGAGCGGTATTAAACTGGGGACCCCCAGCAGGACCTCGTGGGACCTGTCCTCACTAGCAAATGCCAAGGATGAACGGCCCTGAGAGGACTACAGAGGAGCCTTGGTGTGTGTTGGGGGGGGGGCGGGCCTGAAGGTTGACTGTAAGGGTAAGGATGAGCATCCAAAGGCCCGGCTGGTGGCGGGGTACGGGTGTACAGATGTCCTCTGCTGTGTGTCCCTACAGCGATGGCCAACATACCACCATCATTCCAGAGCAATATGTCCGTGGTGTTTCTGCCAGAGGACTTACCAGTGGGTGAGTGATGGTCCCTGTGCTGGGGCAGAGCTGAGCTTTTGTCCCAAGGCTGTCACACAGGCTCCCCACCATGTCTGAGGAACAGCCCCTGACCGATCACACTCGAGGTCAGCCCTCTGCACCTGTGGCTTCACATCGCACGTTCAGCCTCTGTGGGCTAAAACACTGGAGGGGAAAAACATTGTCGGGCTTTTTGTTCTCGTCCTCACTCCATAAGCCAGTCATTTCCTTCATAGTCAGGGTTGCAGTGGTCTAGATGGTACTTGAAGTCAAGGAAGGTAGGCTTGAGTTCTGCACAAACACCCCACCGCTCTCCATGAGGGACCTGAGCACTCACTGATTTCGGCATCTCAGGAGGTTCCTGGAACTGGCATCCCTGGATACAAAGTCTTTTTTGCTAACCCACTTGTGATTGGTTGATTCCAAGGTTGTGGAGGACAGAGGACCTCAGTCAGGACTCATGCTCACCAGCTTGAGGAAACGACCTCTTAGACAAGACTCCCACTTGCCAGCCTGCCTTCATGTTTCCTTAGTTGCCAGGAACGTCCTCCTGCATCTTAGCATCTTCTGATCAGAAAGTGTCTCTCTTCTCAGGAGACAGCCATTCCATACAGTTCCTTTAACTCCAGAAAGAAATAGTGTTGAGAAGCAGTCATTGAATGGGTGGTGTACCTTCCAGCCAAGAGTGCCCACCCCCACTGTAAAGCCATTTCTAGTCTCACTGAAGCCCAGGGCCCAGAAGTGGGAAGGGAGGCTGGGGTGCGGGGCGGTTAGGGGATCAGAATCCCAGATTTCAACTTATGTCCACATCCCTGCCCTGTGGGCAGCTGGACCAGCCCACCCTGACAGAGGTGGTCATGAACCTGGGCCAGCCCTGTTCATCTGCAGGTGCCGTGGTCTTCTGGTTGATGGCTACAGACCCCGATAATGACCCTCTGGCCTATGGGATTAGTGGCCCCTATGCCTACTTCTTCTCCGTCAACACAAGCACTGGGGAAGTGAAGCTGGCGAGTCCTTTGGACTATGAGGTAAAGAATGGTGGGGCAGGGAAAGCGGGGAGAGAGGGGATAGCCTGGGGTAGCCCCTGGAGCCAGAGTCCAGGGGCATAGCTGGACCCTCGCTCTGAGCAGGGACCCTTTCTCCCTGCCGCTGCAGACACTCCATGCCTTCCAGATCACCATCTCCGTACATGACGGTCACAACAATCCAGTGAGTTAAAAGAAGAGGGGAGGGTGGTCAGGGGTGGATGAACAGGATGCCAAATATCTACTTCCGATCATGTGTCTATTTCAGGCAAGCAGAGGGCACCCCAGTTGATAAGACTTTAGTACTATTTTCAAAATTAGATGCTCATACAATGTTACCAAGAGCTTGGTATTTATTGACTGTATAAGTATTTTGTTTATAAAGTTACAGTGTTGTAATTTGTATATTAATACAAATACTGGCTTTTAGAATGATTCATTGTTTCCTTTTGTGTATGAATGCTTTGCCTGCATGCCTGCAGAGGCCAGAAGAGGGTGCTAGATCCTTTGGAACTGGAGCCACAGTCATACTGCTGAGCTGACGCTCTAGCCTGTGTGTCTACTGTCAAAGCTGCCACACCTCTTCAATGACTAGCATAATGTTTAATTTCCAAATCTTTATACCCCGCCCCCATTTTTCTTTCTTTCTTTCACTGAGTGGCACTCCCAACCCTTCTCCTCTTCCTCCTTGTTGTTCAAGTCATGGTGGCCCATGTCTGTAATCTCAGTGCTTGGCGGGGAGGGGTGAAGGTTGGAGGATCCTACCTTCAAGTTCAAGTTCATCTTTGGCTACATAGTGTGTCTATGGCCAGCCTAAGATAGGTGAGGCTCTGTCTAAATAAGGAAAGGACAATCAAGAGAGCTTAATGCGGAGCACACGCACGCACACGCGCACACACACACACACACACACACACACACACACACACACACCCTAGTGCACAGCTATGCTTCTACGTGAAGGAGGGAAGAAGGAAGGCGGGGTCCTCGAAACTCTTCTGGCATCTTAAGCCACATTTCCTGTCCTCTCCTGGGCTTTCTGCAGGTGCAGAAGGAGATGCGGGTGATTGTGCAGGACAGAAATGACAACGCACCCGTGTTCCAGAACACCGGATTCTCCACCAACATCAGCGAGGTACCCCCGGCCTTTGTGTGGCAGGGCACGGAGGGCATCCCAGAGTGTCACTCAGAGAAGAGAAGCCAGGAAGCCCCGGGTGCAAAGCCGTGATTGACAGGGCCACCTCCTTCAAGCCACCCGCAGAGTAGGGTTCTCTCAGCTGTGGTAGGAAAAGCAAGAGAAAAAGGAAGTTGGTTTCCTCGAGCTTCTAAGAGCTGGAGGCTCGCTGACTTACATTAGCTGTCACCCCTCGCTGCTCCCCTGCCTGGCTCGCTGCATCCGCCCTGAGGAGCCAGCCGCCTGGCTCTCAGCCGACCTCCCGCCCACAGCTTTGGCCGTTTCTCCTGGTTTCAGCGAGCAAGGGCCTGGCTGTCACCCGCTCGCTTTGGACATGTGTTCACCCTAGAGACAATTAGCAGTGTGGAGTGGCTGGTCTATGCTGTGGCCTTTCCTCAGCCGGGGGCGCTTCGCTTTAACCGCTTTAGCCGGGTAGGAAGAGGTTCCCCAGGGCTGTGCAGAAAATGGAACATTGTCCCAGGGCCCCAAGACCATGTGGTTGGTTGTGTAGGGCCAGGCCTGAGACTCACCTGACAGGCCCCACCCAGCACCCATGCTCTAAGCACTGTCCACACACCACCTGGTGAGCAAGACTCCCTGGGTGTGAGGCTGCAGGTCTCACGAATGGAAACCCAAAAGCAAGCTGTGAGGGAAGGCTCAGGGTGGGGCGCTCTGTGCAGGTGACAAGGCATGGGAGGGCGGGGAGAATGGCCCAGGAGAGGGGCTGCGGCTGGCTTCTCTGAAGAGACTGTCCAAAAAGAGACCCGAATAGCAAGGGACCTGCCAGGGAATGGCCAGGCAAAGCACGCTCCTGGCTGGGGATGGGCAAAGGTCCTCAGGCAGCAGCGGGGCTGGCCGAAGAGGCTTCAGGGGGAGGGACAGGCAGCAGCCTGACCTCTCAGGGCCGCTGAAGCTCTTTGGACCATGTGCTGGGAAGGATGGGGAGCTTTCAGGAGCTGAGAGGGAGGAAGTCCACCTCAGGCTGTGGGCCAGACAGAGCCCTCGGGAGCACCTAAGCAGTGGAGTGACAGTCAGGCCGGGCTCTAGAAAGGTCTCTTATTTGTGGTCCTGAGCGACTGTGAGAACCAGCTCTCAGGGTGTGAAGCTCATTGGGGGAAGGTGGTTCTGCTGCCTGCCCCATCTTAACCAGCCCATGGCTCCCCTGAAGGCCCAGCCTGGGGGTTGGGGTGGGAGGGACACACAGATGGAAAGTCCCCTCCTACAGACCCTGCCAGTTGGCTCCGTGGTGTTCACCGTGCTGGCTGAGGACAAGGACTCCGGGCCAGCCGGATTAGTGCGGTACTTCATAGAGAAGGTGAGTGGGACAGAGTTCCTGGGACTCCAGGTGGGAGCCGGCCTCACTGTGCCTTACGTCCAGCAGGGGGCAGCATCCTCACAGACAACCCTAGCCCTGGTCCCCAGCCTTTCTCCGCTATCACCCCCGCATCCTCACAAACCCGCCTGCCTTTGTCTAGTTGCTCCCATCCTCTTCACCAGCACTGTCAAGTCCTCCTGCCAGCTAAAGCACTCACAACTCCCAGGAGAGGTCAAGGCTGGGAGGGGGCTTGCTCACCCAGACACGTGTGACCTCACGTTGGTGGAGAGTGAGGGGCAGCACTGTCCCCCGGGCCTCACCCAGATATCGCCTGTCACAGGTCATCCCCAGCACGGACGACAGCAAGAGTCTCTTCTACATCCTGGAGAACGGCTCCATCGTGTTGAACGGCAGCCTCAGCTACAACAACAAGAGCGCCTTCTACCAGCTGGAGCTGAAGGCCTGCGTGCGTGTGGGGTGCAGGTGGGGCGGGGGGGGCCCCGAGTTGGGCTGCGGGCTCACCGAAGGCCCCCTCTGCTGCAGGACTCAGGCGGGATGTTGCATGACAAGTTCGTCACACAGTGCTCGCAGCCAGTCTTCCTGTTCATCTCGGTGGTGGATGAGCCCGACCTGGACCCCCAGTTTGTCAGGGAGTTTTACTCGGCCTCTGTGGCTGAGGACGCTGCCGTGGTAGGTGATGGGGCCGCAGCGCTGGGTGGTGACTGTCGGAGCTCGGGGTCCAGGCGCTCACGTAGCCTCCTCCCAGGGCACGTCGGTGCTGAAGGTGGAGGCGGTGGACGGTGACAAAGGCATCAACGACGCGGTGACCTACAGAATCTCCAGTGAGAGCCTGGGTGGCCCTGGCGGGGGCTCGGGTCAAGGTGGGGTGGTGGGTGGCCAAAGCCATGCGAAGGGCCTCTCTGTCAGACTCCACGAGGCCCATGTGGTTCGACATCAGGAACGACGGAGTCATCTTCGTGAGCGCCCCCCTGGACAGAGAGCAGCTGCCCAAGGATGCCGGCGAAGTGCAGCTCCAGGTCACGGTGAGCACGCGTGCCACCCTGTTCCCGGAACCCTCGGCCCTGGCTCCCAGGCTCCCTGAGCACCGCTCCGCTCCGCCCTCAGGCCACCGAGGAGAATCCTAACATCTACGGGGATGAGGCTAAGACCAGCATATGGGTCACCATCAGGGTGACTGATGTCAACGACCACAAGCCAGAGTTCTACAACTGCACCCTCCCAGACTGCTCCTTTGGCCCCGACGAGGCCCAAGTCAACTTCACGGGCTACGTGGATGAGCACGCCTCTGCCCGCATCCCCATCGACAACCTGACCATGGTGGCCTATGACCCAGATCAGGCGGGTGCCTGGAGGGGGAGGGGCGGGTGGTGGTGGAGGAGGCTGGGGGCGGCGAAGGGGGGGAACAGGGAAAGAGATATGACGTAATGACTGGGGGTGTGGGGGAGCAGGGTGGGGGTGTTCAGGGCAACACTGGGTGGCGGTGAGCAGAAGCAGTGTGGAATGGAGGCCGGCCTTAGGTGCGGGCCAGCAGAGAGCGGCTGTGATCCTGGCACGGTTGGCTCTGGGTAGCCCGTGGTGTGGGGAAGCAGGGAGCCTCAGGGAAAGGTGGCCAGCGCTCCGTGTAAAGCCATCTGAGGATGGTGCCAAGAGGCTGGTGGGCACGCCGACCTGGTCCAGGGAAGAGCAGCAGTGAGGGAGCAGGCCGGGTGGTGTGCGGGCTGAGCAGTGGGCACTTAGGAAGGCACTGGGGCTACTTTATGGAGGTGAGGAGAGTGTGGCTGTCTCTCCAGGTCTGGAGACCCTCTGCGTGCTGGGGCCGCAGCTGAGGGCTGAGTGGCCCAGCCTGACTTCCTGGGCCTGGACTGTTGGCTCACAGTTCTGTGAACTCACTCGGCAGGGCTGCTGCAGAAGGCCTGAGCGCGGAGATGGAGGCAGTGGCAGCGGGCCAATCCCTAATATACCGCCCTCCCTTACAGGGCGACAATGGTACCTTCCTGCTGTCCCTGGAGGGCACAGACGCTGCCGCCTTCAGTGTGTCCCCAGAGCGAGCAGCAGGCTCTGCCAATGTGCAGGTGGTGGTGAGAAACTCCGACCTGGTGGACTATGAGGAGAAAGAGACGATGGAGGTGGAGGTACTGTGCCATGAGGCCCTGGGGCTGGAGGCCGTGGGCAGCCAGGCTCCTGTACTGCCGCGATTCTTCCGTCCTCAGGTTGTGGCCACTGACTGGGTCAGCGGGAACTTCTCTGTCGCTGTGGTGACCATCCATCTTAGAGACATCAATGACCACAGTCCCGTGTTCTCTCAGAGCCTGTATGAACTCACCGTGCCAGAACACAGTCCACCAGGCTTTGTGGTCACTGACCAAATCAAGGTGAGTGTGATGCCACAGGCTTTGTGGTCACTGACCAAATCAAGGAGGACCGGGCTGGGAGAAGGATGCTGGACCTGGCCGATCTGTCTGGGTGTGTGCAGCGTCTGTGTGAGTGCCCAGGTGCGGTGAGCTTTGGAGTCAGGTTCCACAGCCTCGTTGGATGCTGTGTGTGGTGGGGCAGATGACAGTTCCCACCGTTGTGCCGTCTTTGCCTCACAGGCTACAGACCTAGATAAGGGTGAATGGGGCCGTATCACCTACAGTCTGCTTCCAGGAAATGGGTAAGCTCCTAAGGTGGGTAGGGGTGGATGTGTGTGCGCATGCCTGTGTGTAAGTGCGTGTGCGTGTGTGTGTGTGTGCGTGTGTGTGTGTGTGTGTGTGTGTGTATTTGTATGTCTGTGTGTGTTCTTCTCTGCCTTGCCATGGGGCTGGGGATAGAGAAGAGTAGCCTATAAGTGACAAAGTACTCGGTTTCATGTCCACTCCAGAAAAACAATTTAAAAAATTATTAGTTTTTTCTGTCACTATAACAAAATACCTGAGGCGGGGTGTTCTCTAAGGAGAAAGGGTTATTTAGATCTGGAGGCTCCCAGAGGCATAGAGTGCCATCCGCTGGGTCCTGGGAGGGCTTGGTAATATATCAAGTCACATGGTGTGACCATGTATGAGATGGGAGAGATCCCAGGACAGGAAACCAGAGGAAGAAAAGGGGCAAGGGACAACTTCCCACCAGGCTCAGCCTCCCAGAGGCCCTTGTGCCTCCTGATGTCATCACACACTGTGGACTGAGTGTCCAACACCTGGGGGCTGGAGGGCGCCCACAGCACTCTCCACAGCCACGAGTCTGCTGGAAATGCTGCACAGGGGCCCCTCAAGTCTGTGTTGCCATTTGCCCGGGTTCAAGCATAAGTACACATCCCGTCGCTTTATTGGCTGATTCTGGTCACCCCGAGCAGAGCAGAGCTGTTTGAGGTGGATCCGGACTCAGGGAACGTGACGGTGAAGAATGGCACGCTGCTGGACCGGGAGAGGCAGGCTGTGTACTTCGTCACGCTGCAGGCCACTGACGGCGGGGGCCAGTCCAGCACCACCATGCTGCAGATCACTCTGCTAGACATCAACGACCACGCGCCTGTGGTCTGGGGCTCCTACAACGTCTTTGTGCAGGAGGAGGAGGGCAACGTGTCTGTGACCATCCAGGTGGGCGTCGCCCTGGACCTGGAGGCAGTGGGGTGGTGGAGGGGGCCATGCTGGTCCTGGGTGATGCCTCCCTCCAGTGTGGCTCTGAGGGAGTTGCCCAGGTTCTCTGGACATCCGCTTCCTCCTAGAAAATGAAGAGTCATGGTCCTTATTCTCAGGGTCAGCAGGGTGTAAGGAAGTAAAGGGCCTACGGTGGGTATTCTGCACAGGCCTGGTGTGGAACGGGCTTTCCCAAACAAATCGCTCTTTAATATATACATCTCCAGCTCATTCCAACAAGATCTGATGTGGTTTACATAGAAAGTAAGATCCAAGCAAGGCACGGTGACACACACCATTAGACCCCACACTTAGGAGGTGGAGGCAGAAGGATGTCTAAGGTTAGGGCCAGCCTGGTCTACAGAGTTCTGAAACAGCCAGGGCTATGCAGAGAGAACCTGTTTTAAGAGAAGGCAAAAAGAAACAAACAGCCAAGATGTAAACAGAGAACCTACCATGATTAAGCATTATTAAAGGGGCCACAGTAGCATTAACCTGGAGTGTAGACAGCGCGGTTAGAGCAGTGGCTGGGAATCTCGCCTTTGGCTGACCCACAGGGACAGCTTGTGAGGATGGGTCTGCGGGGCCTCAGAGGGCTGTCCCTCAGCCCCGGTCACTCCCTCCTTCAGGGGCTGAGGCTCCCTGCAGACATTCCACAGTCAAGCTCTCCTGGCTTTTCTGGCAGGGCTGGGCAGTAGTCCACATCTCAGCGGACTTGATCCTTCTGGCACTGGCCCCTTTTTAAAAATTTATGTGTTTGCGTGCATTGGTGTTTTGCCTGCATTTTTCTGTGTGAGGGTGTCAGATTCCCTGGAACTAGAGTTATAGACACGTGGGAGCTGTGGGAATCGAACTGGGTCCTCTGGCAGGGCAGCTGGCACTTTCAACCTCCGAGCCTTCACTCCAGCACTCTGGCTTAAAGCTCCTCATGGGAGAAACATTTCTAATTTGTCAGACCCGTGGCACCCTTACGTATGCAGGGAAGTGTTAACTGGCCACATTCAGAGCACCTTTGTGGGAACGGATGGTCTCGCCCCAGGAAGAGCCATCTCTGGCTGCTTAGGAAGGGTGCATTCAAGGAGCGACACCCAACAGAGCTGAGCTGAAGGCAGTGGTGGTGAGGTGAGCAGGGAGGAAAGAAAGACAGGCTTCCCTCACGGCCCCTGGCTTCGCACCAGCTCCTCTGCTGAACCATGGTGTCTGGAGGAGGGCCCGCTCTGGCTCCTGCTCCTGGGCGCACGCTAAAGCGAGTTGCAGACCTTACTGATGGGGTCGTCTGTGCTGTCAAAGGTAGAGGAGCTGTAGGGCGCTGCAGGGGTGACAGCATGGCTGGGAGGCGGGCGGAAGGCCGGGCCGGGAAGAACATGCTTGGTCCAATATAGTCCCGTACGTTTGGGGCCTTGACATGACAAGAATGCATTTGTGCGCAGACACATGCCCTTTGTATGAGGAATGAGCTGTTTAGAAAGTACACCACAAGCTGGATGCGGTGGCCCACACCTGTGAACCCAGAGAGGCAGAGGCAGGTGGATCTCTGTGAGTTCAAGGCCAGCCTGGTCTATGAAATGAGTCCAGGACAGCCAGGGCTACACAGAGAAACCCTGACTCGAAAAACCAAACCAAACAAGAAGGTCCATCAGCACAGCTAGATATGGGGACGCACAGCTTTGATCTTTCCTTCGAAAGGCAGAGCCAGGCAGATCTCTGCGAATTCCAGGCCTGCCTGACTACATAGTGAGACCCCGTCTCAAAAGAAGCCGGGTGTGTGTAAGGGGTGGTGGTGGAGGAGGCTGGCCCAGCAGGTTGGAGAACTGTCTGCTCTGTAGGGGACCCAGATTTGATTCTCAGCACCCATGTGGTGGCTCACAGTGGTCTGTAACTCCAGTTCCAGGGGATCTGCTGCTCTCTTCTGACACACATGCTGTGCTTGCGTGCACGCAGGCAAAACCACTCAAACATACAATAAAAAATCTTTTAAATCTTAAAAGTGAAAAATAGAGTCCTGGGCTAAGGGTGTAATTTAGTTGGTAGTGGGCTTGCCTAGCAGCACAGAAAGCACCAGGACATATTCCCAGCACCACACAGAGTGTGTCGGTGTGTGCCCGTGATCCTGGCCCTCTGTGGGTGGAAGCAGGAGGATCAGAAGGTTGAGGTTATCCTTGGCTACATAGTGAGTTTGAGGCCAGCTTGGGCTACATAAGACCACGTCTCTAGATAAATAAATAGCTCGCATTGTGTGTGTGTAGAAAGTGACAGAGACAGTGAGCATGCTGGCTGTAGCAATTATGGGAAAATCGGAGTCTTTTTTGGATTTCTTGCTTTTACAGTAGGAAAAAAAGCTATTGAGTCTCCGCCTGTACTCTCCCACCCCTCTCTGTGGTGTCAGATTTATGGGAACCTCCACCTCAGGCCTCTTCAGGGTCTAGCTCAGGCCCAGAGTTGCCAGCAGCTCACCCAGCAGTTGTCTGGGTGCCCATAAGCTCTGGCCCCACATCTCAGCAGGAAGCCGTGGCCTGTCTCCCTGTTCCTGATGGCCACTCAGACCCGTGCTGAGGAGGGTTGGGCCTGACTGGAGCCCACTCTGTCCACAGGCCTATGATGATGACGAGCCAGGTACGAACAACAGCCGCCTGCTCTTCAGCTTGCTGCCGGGGCCCTACAGCCACAACTTCTCCATAGACCCCGACACGGGACTCCTCCAGAACGTGGGGCCCCTGGACCGAGAGGCCATTGACCCTGCCCTGGAGGGCCGAATTGTGCTAACTGTGCGTGTGTCTGACTGCGGTGAGCCTTCCCTCAGCACTGAAGTCAACGTCACCATCACTGTGGAGGTAAGGCAGCGCGCTCTCACACAGCCTCGCTCCCTGATTCTTGCACAAGTTGTACTTCCTATTGTGTGCAGCATGTTACAGGAGAGGTTGAGAACTCGGCTGGGCTGCCCTTGGCAATCCTGGCCCTTAAGTCAGAAAGACTGGGGGTGAGGCCAGTGTGACTGACTGGGAGTGAGGCCAGCGTGAATGGATGGGGATGTTCTGAAGAGGCTGCCACCCAGGGAGGGCACTCGCTGCCTTGGCTCTGACTGCCATGCACAAAGTCTTGTCTGGAACCATCTTGACTGCCAGCAAGCAAAGGCCAAGGGCAGGTAAAGCTGGCTCAGGTCGTGTCTCCTGCACACCAAGAGGCGGAACTCAGGGGCCATGCATGGTGGTGCAGACCTATAATCTCAATACTTGGGAAACTGAGGCAGGGTGCTTGAGAGTTTTAAGCCATGCTGGGTCACATAGCAGACCTTGTGACCGAAGGGATAATACAGACATGGAAGCAGATTTAGGACTTGTTGGCACCCTGGGAACAAAGCACAGTATTAAAGGAGACATGAAGGGGACTTACTGAAGGGGTCCCCTTGCCTCCATGAGTTCCACGCTCTTGCTGTAAGTGTTGGAGGCTACCCTATTTACAGATAAGGACACTGGAGCCTGAGGACGCCAGAGCCACAGGAGAGGGATGGGCTCAGAGCTGGTGTCTTACCCACTCCCGTGGGAGTCAGGCTGACCATGAGAAATCAGCAGCCTTGTGCGGGGAGCAGTGACGCCTGTCTGAGGAGGCAGAGCATACGCCTCACCCAGCAGAGGTCCCCTTGTTGGTGGGTTAGAGCTCTGTGTCCAGGTCCGTCCTATGGTTATACAGAGAAAACTGGCCACCAAAGCATGCATGTTTACCAGCAGACAGCAGGCTAGGGTACTCAGACCGTCCCCCAGGCACATGTCAGCTCTGGAAAAGCATGGAGGATGGGCTCCGGCTGGTCACAGAGCTGCTGTCCCAGGTCTGAGAAATGGGAGCTCAGGCTAAGACAGATGGGGACGCACACAGGGATCGTGGCCAGTTCTAGGAAGTGGGGCTAGAGTAGCGCTGGGCTGAGGGCGGACAACAGAAGAAGGAGCACTCCTTGGCCTTCTTTGGAAGGGTGTCTGCACATCTGGAAACTGGCAGTGCAGTCCGAGGGGCAGAGTCCACGGCTCCGTCTGTGTGGAGCTATCCCTGGCTTTTCAGATGGCTCTGGGGAGGGACGCCTGCTGCCGAGGCCCCCAGGACTCAGGCCTGCCTCTTTCTTTAGGACATCAATGACAACCTGCCTGTGTTCAGCCAGCCCTCCTACGAGTTCTTCGTGAAGGAGAGGGATCCGGGTATGTGCCCTCTTGGCTGGCCAGTGCCCACACTGTGGCCAGCTGTGCACATGGGTGGGGGTGGAATATGTATCCTAGCACGTTGCATGCATGCAGGAGGATACCCTGGAGTACACCCCATCTCTGACATCACATAGTACAGCCTGTGCTAAGGGCTCCATGATAAGACCAGGCTCGAGTGCCTGGGGCCCGCACAGGTGCCCCTCCAAGCTCCGTCCTTTGTCCACAGGGGTACTGGTGGGCACAGTGAAGGCCTGGGACGCCGACCAGACAGAAGCCAACAACCGCATCAGCTTCAGCCTGTCCGGGATGGGTGTCAGCAACTTTATTCTCCGAGGCAGTGTGCTGGGACAGGGGTGGGCGGAGGGTCACCTCTGGCTGCTCCCTGATGTGAGCTTGGATTATGAGACACAGAACCTGTTCAGTCTGAACGTGAGTGCCGAGAACCCAGGCCCCCAGGGCCTCGAATCCATAGCCAACGTCACCGTGGTTGTGCTGGATGTGAATGATGAGCCGCCAACCTTGGACGCAGACTCGCTGCGGGGCATCTCTGTGGCTGAGAACGGCTCCCAGCATGGCCAGGTGGCTCAGGTGGTAGCTTGGGACCCGGATACTACCGCCCAGCTGACGATAGAGCTGCTGGACGTCATCTGCACCAAGGCTGGCGTCGATGTGGGCAGTGTATGCCACGGCTGGTTCTCCGTGGCTGCCAACGGCTCTGTGTACATCAGTGAGAGCGAGGCCATCGACTACGAGGCTTGTCACCTGGTCACGCTGGTGGTGCGGGCGCATGACCTCGCCACAGATGATGGCTTTGAGGCGTACAGCAGCAATGGTGAGAGGGCCTTGTCAGTGGGCACACACCGGCCCAGCTATGTCGCTGGCCATGCCCTCTCCAGGCTTCCGTTCTCCATGTGTCCAGTGGGGACTGGCCAGGAGGTGGAGAGTGGGAGAGCACGTGCTCAGTGTTTAGTGGGATGTCTGGAAGCACCTACGGAAGGCTGCCATTTTGTCAGGAGCTAGCAGCATCCTCATCCCACCCCACACAGGCACAAGGGCCTTGTTAACCGCGAGCACAGCACGGCACCGTGCCAGGCACCTTAAAGCATTTGCTCATTTTATCCCTGCCCAACTCTTGAGCTAGTGATGCCCACCCCACTTAAAGATGGGGAAGCCAAGGAGAGGAGCAAGAGAAGGTAGGCAGTGGCCCAGGTGGGCCTCAGATTCATAATCCTCCTGCCTCAGTCTCCCAAGTGCTGACATTTGTGGTTGTTCGTCACTACCCCTGGCTCAGGGTGAGTGTTTAAGTGACCAACTGACATAAGAACGAATACGTCACAAGAACAGCCTCAGGCGGCTCAGTTGGTAAAGCACCACACTTTCAGTCCAGAGGTCAGGGGTTCAAAACTACGTAGGAAAATATACATCACACTTATCTATATTACTATAGACAGACACTCATATTTGCACGCACGCACACACGCACGCACTTTCACGTGTGTCGAGAAGGGAGCCCTGGTTCTTGCTTGTGCAGCCAAGGCTGCTGCCCCTGACTGATACCCATCCATGTATGAAATGCCCTGGTCAGCTGGGGCAGACCCAGGCCCACTCCTGGACTGCCTCTCTTGCGTGGCTCTGACTACCTGTTTGCCTGCCGTGAGGGTAGGAATAACGTTAAGAGCCAGAGGACTCCTGAGGAGCAGGCATGAGCCCAGGGCAGGCAGAGCCGGGGAGCAGACTGCAGAAAGCCTCCTGCGGCCCAGGGTCTCGGGGTGAGGACTTTGCTGAGTGCTTCCACCCACATGACCTTATTTACCCAGGGAGCCTGCCCATCGCCATTGTGGACAAGAACGACAATGCTCCATACTTCCTGCCTAACAACCAGACCTTCGGTGAGTGAGCATCAGGACCCGGCGGCACCCTGCTGCGTCCATACACAGCTCAGACACCCTCCTGCCCCACCTCCGGGAACGCGCTCCAGGCCACAGGGGATCTGGCCCTCCTCCGCCCCAGGCTGTAGCTCCGTATCAGCTTGAAGGCAGGCCTTGCCTCAGTTTTCCCCTCTGTACAATGAGAGCCTTGCCGACCACAGCCTCAGGAACAGCTGCAATGGGGTTGCTGGTGGAGCGGATTCTGCTTGGTGCAGTGCTGGGCCAGGTGGACACTGTCCCGGCTGCACTGACCTCTTCCTGCTCACATTTCTAGTCATCATCCCAGAGCTTGTGTTGCCCAACCAGCCGGTGGCCTCTGTCCAGGTGAGTCCTGAGCCCCAGCCATTATCCAGCGACCCCAGGGGACAGAACTAAGGGATGCAGGCCTTTCACCTGCCCCTGAGATGCTCCAACCACAGCTACGATGACGGCCTTTGCAAAGCCTGGGGCTGTGGCAGCCTTGGCCCAACAGATACCCTTCCCTTCTGCTAATCGTTCAATTTAGTATTCATAAAAATTTCATGGCCAGAAACACTGCTTGGAGGCTACATTTTCCCTGACGATGCCAGATTTCTTGAGTGTGATCGAGAGCTCATCGCCAATTACAAATTAAAAGGGTTTCTTGTGCTTAAATAGCTTCCCGGGCACCACTGTAGCAATGCTTTCAATTTGTTACAATGATGGATGTGGGTGTGTAAGCAGAGCATGGCGGGGATTAAGCTTCCCTCTTTGTGGGTGTGTGCGCTCGCGCGTGTTTTGAGACTGGGTCAGATGATGTAGCCTTGGCTATTGTAGACTCAGCCGTGTAGCCCAGGCTTGCTTCGAATGTGACTGAAGTGCTGCAGTGAAAGGCGTGAGCCACCATACCCAGCTCAGCTTCCCTCTGGGCTGGGTGGCTCCTGGCCAGCACCACAGGAGTGTGCACTCAGGTTGGAAAGGCCTGGCCTTCCCCACGGAGCACTGAGGGGCCTCCAGGACAGGACTTCCCTTCCTCCAGGACAGCATTTTTTTCCCTTTCTACGTTCTTTCCAGACTCACCCAGTTAATTTCTAGCCCTCGGCCAACCGCTTGCTGATGCCCTGATTCAGTCACGGCTTTGATTGCTTTCTTTTCTATGTGTGCACAGACACATGTGTGTGGGTGTGTTCACACACTCCTGTCTGTGCTACGTTTATGCATGTCTGTGTGTACACGTCTATATGTGTGTGTGCATATCTACATATGAATGTATGCGGGGTGCGTGTGTGCACATGTGTGTGAGAAGCAGTGTAGGGTATTGCTCCTTGGACCTCTCAGTAGCCCGGAGTTTGCCTATGAGGCTGACAGGCCCTAGAGAGCCACCTGTCTCCACGTCCCCAGTCTCCTTACAGCAGTCCTGGGACCCAAATACGGGGCAGGCCTTTGTGCCCGAGTGGCAAGCATTTTGCCAACTGAGTGTTCTTCTTGGCCGAACTACCTTTGTTTATTTGTTTGTTTTATTTGTTTTTCAACTCAGGGTTTCTCTGGGTAGCCTTGGCCTGGCTGTACTAGACTCTCTTTGTAGACCAGGCTGGCCTCAAACTCACAGAGATCCGGTTCTGAACTGGTGCTTCTTAAAATTAACTCGTATTTGCAACTTGAAGCCCAGCGGTTCACCCTGAGCATGAGGCCCTGTGTGCCTGTGCATTCTTTGTAAAGGCACCGGAATGAATCAAGATGTTTGTCCCTCCTGCTTGTTCATTTCTGGTCTGCTAGGGAATGTAAGGCTGTGTCAGTCAGCCCTGAGTAAGGGCTTGAAAGGCAGGGTGCATGCTGTAGGTGCCCTCAGGCCCAGTGTGGCTGTGTTTATGAGTGGGTGCGTACATGCCTGGCAGTCGGGTGGAGGGTGAGGCAGGTTTCTGCATAGAAGGACTTTGGGAGGTCATCTGTTATATTGGGGTACATGAAAATGTGGACGCACAGTAAACCCAATCTTGAAAAAGCCTGAGTCAGGAGCGTGTACATCTGTGTAGTCCCAGCACTTGTGAGGAAGAGGCAGGAGAATCACAGAGTGTTCAAAACCATTCTGGCCTAAATAGTGAGTCCCAGGACAGCCGGGACTCTGCAGTGAGACCTATAGAAGAAACACGCGAGTATTTGGAGCGGCCACCACAGCGTCTGATCATGGTAAGGGAGAGGCCTTTCCTGGTCTCACCCAGACATGGCTCTTGCTTGCAGGCCAGAGATGAGGACTCAGAAGACAATGGGAGTATCCAGTTCTCCATCCTGAAAGCTGACTTTGTTTCCAAGGATGGGGCCACCAACCCTGTCCAGGCCTTCCAGATTATACGTTCAGTGGAAGCAGACCTGTTCATTGGCACCATCTAGTAATGTGGTGATGGATGCCCGGGTGGGTTGGGGGAGGAGGGGGGCACAAGCCTCGGGCAGGGTCTCCGTGCCGGAAGGGGCACAGTGGGCTTCCAGACGGGCTGTGGGGACCCAGACTAAGTTCCAGAACAGAGCTGTGTCTTTCCTTCTTTCACAGTCTGGTGACCAACCTTGACTCCACCCTCCAAGGCACATACCAGGTGACAGTCCAGGCCCGGGATGAGCCTAATATTGATCCCGTCCTGGAAACGCAGACCACGCTGAATGTGAGTGCTGTTCCTGCCTCCAGCCCCTTGTGCCCAGCCAGTCCCGTGTGTCTCCTTTCTTTGTACGTTTTGTTGTTGTTTTAGGACAGGCTCTCACGTTGTAGCCCTGGCTGGCCTGGAGCCCCCTGTGTAGACAAGGCTGGCCTTGAACTCACAGGATCACCCACCTCTGTCTCCCTAGTGCTGAGATTGAAGGCGTGTTTTGCTGAATATTTACCCAGAATGCTTGTCACTGTCAGATGGACCTGTAATCCCATCGCTTGGGGACAAAAGCAGGAAGAGCTTGAATTTGAGGCCAGCTTGGGCTATAGAGGGAGACCTGGCCTCAAAACAAATAACAAACCACACGCACGCACGCACGCACATGTGCGCTTTTAAGCAGTGGGGATTTGGTTGTTCTCATCCACACGTCAGAGTCAGGATAAGTTCCATGTACGTATCAGTAAGGCGAAAGACTGAACGATCTTTTAACACCTGGTGACACTATTCCTAGACCCAGACTCTGCAGCAAATCAGCTATAATCTTTTAGGAAGGGTAAGGGTCAATCTCCGCACGTGTTTTCATGACACATGGTGTTTTAGCCAGCAAGTCCCTTTCCGGGGAGGTCCCTGCACACACGCTGATGGTGCAGAGAGCACCCGGTGTGAGGAAATCAGGAAGTGGTGAGGGCATGTGGGCCATCCACACGGACCACCACACACTGGAACACGGAGAGTGACGGGGAGCAAAGACACGCGGCATAGCCACCAGGACTCGAGCCTGTGGCAAGCCCCACAGGCGCTCATGGGATTATTAACAGGCAGGAAATCCCAGGATAAAAGCTCTGAAGCTTTCACTGTGAGGGCCTCTTCAGAGTGAGGGCCAGATCTGAGGAGGGAAGAGCCTTCGCGCCTTGTGGTGTCTGAAGTTGGGCGGCGGGTGGACACAGCCCGCGAGCTGTCGCAGTGGGCTGCGTTGTGAGAGACGCTCCTGAGGTTGCCCCGTGTTCCTGATGTTCCCCTGCATGCCCCTTCTTCCCTAGCTCTTCACTGTGGATCAGAGTTACCGCGTGAGGCTGCAGTTCTCCACCGACAAGGTGGACGTGGGGGCCAACGTGGAGGAAATCAAGGCGTAGGTCTGGGAAGTGCAGGCAGAGGCTGTGGGAATGGGGCCTGAGGGGCTGGTCCTGGGGAAGAACCGGAGGAAACACTCCTGACCCCATCCCTGACCCCTGTGTGAACTTGCCTCCATCTTTGACCCTGTGCCTGGGCCAGAAGCCCACGCTCAGCCAAAGGTAGAATGAGGCATGAGCAAAACCGCCATGCACAGTTGTGAAGCCAGGCCCTGCTGGAGGAAGGGTTCCCACATCTGATTCGTGCAGAGGTTCAGCCACTTAGCGAGCACCCCTCCATCCACACAACTCCCGCTTCTGCGGCACAGCCCCGGCCACAGTCCTGGGCAAGGTCCCCACTCCAAGGACCTGTGGTGTCTGCATCCTTTGTAGGGCTCTCATTCAGACGACCAGGACCTCTGTCTATGTTGTGACGATCCAGAACATAGACACTATGGCTAGGTGAGTGTCCCGGCCCAGCAGCCAGTCTGAGGAAGAACCCCGTGGTTAGAGGGGGGCCTTCCTGGGCTGCTATTTGTCTCTTCCAGGGCCCGAGCCCACTCCTACCTGGACGCCTACTTTGTCTTCCCCAACGGGTCAGCCCTGACTCTCACTGAGCTGAACACGTGAGTGGGGCGGCCTGGGAGGGTGAGCGGGAGAGCCAGGGAGCCAGCGACCCTGGGGTAGGGGTCTAAGCAGGGCTCTACGGCAGGATGATCCGGAAAGACCAGGAGGCACTGAGGCAGCTGCTGCAGCTGGGGCTGGTAGTGGTGGTGAGTGTGGGGGGACAGAGGTTGCAGGTGGGGAGGGGCACGGCTCCACAGCCCCTCACCCTCCTGCGGCCCCCTCACCCTCCCTCTTCCCTAGAGCTCCCAGGAGAGCCAGGAGTCTGACCAGCCGAAGCTGCTCACCAGCGTCATCATAGGGCTAGGCGTGGCTTTGCTGCTGGTCCTGGTGATCATGACCACCGCCCTCCTGTGTGTGAGGAAAAGGTGTGGCTTGCTTCCCCCCACCCCCCAGAGTCTCCAGCTCTCTCCTGGCCCCGCTGGGGGTGGGTAGAAAGAATTAGGGTCAGGCACAGGGTACTTGTGCAAGACTATGGGTGAGCCCCTCCCCCAGCCCAGCCCCCTGCCAGCAGAGTGGGCTGGGCACTAGATTGCTCCATGACTTTAGGGTAGAGATGCTGAGCAAGTCAAACTGTTGCCATCTCCCCTTCCTGGAGCACGGTGGGTAGCCTCCCCGGGTTTTACTCTGGGTATTACTGCTGGCTGCCTATGCGGCTGTTTGCAACACCTTCCCTTTGCCAGTGGTTCCATTTCCTACAAAATTTGGCTAAGACGATCGATCACCAGGATCACCAGGATCCCCTGAAGCCACAGTCGGGGGGCGGGGGGGACGGGACATTCAGCCCTGGTTGAGTATGTTGCAAATGGGATTTCCTCCTGCTTCAACAGCTACCACCGGAAGCTTCGGGCTATGAAGGCTGGCAAGGAGGCCCGGAAGACACCAACAGAGGCGACAACTTCAGCAGCTGCCATCCCTGGGACCAATGTGTACAACACTGAGCGGTGAGCAGCAGAGGGCACCAAGAGACCTCGGGAGACGGCTGAGGGCCATGGCTGCTTGACCAAACTTTCTCTCCAGGGCCAACCCCGTGCTGGACCTCTCCACCAAGGATCTGGGATTGGACTACCTCTCTTCCAGTGACTTGGACTATGACAGGTGACCATCTCTCACGACGGGACTGGCTGTTGGTAGAGGGGACAGAAGTGGTAACGGGGATAATGGTGGTGACGGTAATGATTACGGTGGTGGCAATGATGAGAGTTGTGGTGTGGCAGTCATGGAGGGAACAGCCATGGCGGGAGTGTTAGCGGTGGTGATGGCAAAGGTGCGGACTGGGATGGAGCGGTGCTGCGGGTGATGGAGACACTGGGTAGGTGGTGATGCTGGCAGCAGTGCCAGTGATGGTAATAGTGGTGGCAAAGCCACAGACTGGGAAGGTTGGGATAGCTGCTAACAATCGAAGTTCTCTCACTTCTCCTGTAGCCTCAATTCCCTGGATGAAAACTCTGTGGATGTGGAAACAGACAGCAAGGAATTCAAGGCAAGCTGCGGGCTGGGTTGGTACTTGGGCTTCTGACTTGAGACTCTTCTCTGAAGGGGTGGGATTCAGGGTGGATGAGACTGTTCCTCCCTGGTGACACCTTCGGTGGACTGCTTCTTGCATTGTCACACCAGCCAGTTCTGTGGGCCCAGCCTGCTCTCATGCACCATCTTTATTTTCTCTTGAGGACTCTTTTCTTTTCTCTGTTTAAATTTCGTGTGCATTGGTGTTTTGCCTGTGTGTGTGTGTGTGTGAGGGTGTTGGATACCCTTGAACTGGAGTTGCAGACAGTTGTGAGCTGCCATGTGGGTGCTGGGGATTGAACCCGGGTCCTCTGGAAGAGCAGTCAGTGCTCTCAACCACGGAGCCATCTCGCCAGCCCTTCTTCCTTTCCTTTCCTTTCCTCTCCTTTTCTCCTCCTCCTCCTCTTCTTCAAAATGTTTTTTCGACACAGGGTTTTTCTGTGTAGCCCTGGCTGTCCTGGAACTCTCTTTGCACCAGGCTGGCCTCAACTCAGAGATGCGTGCCTATGCCTTCCCAGTGCTGGGATGAAAGGCTGCCACTGCCACCACTAACTAGAAGACTCATTTCTTGGCTAGATTAGGTCAAAGCTTCTCTTGGGCTCGTACAAGGGCCTAGATGTATCATAATGCAAAGTCTGATGTGGATGGGCTCTAATGGGCTCCACAGAGTGGACAGCACGCCGGGCAGCCCGTGTGTGGCTCATTACTGTGTAAAGTTGCTTTGAGTCAGAAACTGCAATGAACTTCTCTGACAAAACTGAGGCCCAGAGAAGGGAAATGTGGAGCTGCCCTCCAAGACTGAAGTTAGGGGTTCCTGATTACCCTGTGGGCTGGGAGAAAGCAAGACTTCCGAGAGAAGAGTCTAGAGAGAGGAGGGGACAGGCCAGCTGAGGGACGGAAGGAGGTTTTGTTTCCCCTAGCACTCCCCAAGTGCCGTGACCTAGAAGGGCTCCATAAACACCATATAGGGTGTGAGCAACCGGGAGACCTCCAAGTGCACAGACCCACCCACTCCCCTTGTCAAGCAAGTAGCATGGATGCAGATGCCCAGAGGGTCCTGTCTGGCTTAGCCAGGCAGCCTGCAGGACAGGAGCAGCTGGAAGTCAGGTCTCTGGGCTTTGGGACCCAGTCGGGACCATATTACGTGGTGTTATGTCAGTTGCTGTGGGCTCAGGGTCTGTAACACAGACTGACTGACCCCTTCAGGGCTCTCGGCTGCTACCCTGTCTGCCAGGGATGGTAACAGCCCCGGCTGGAAAACGCCCTTATAGTGTCCAGGGAAAGGCAGGGGTAGCATGGGGCTCTGGGCTGGTGGGGGAGGGGAAGCAGCCACTGCAGCAGAGTAACCTAGCCTGGGCTGTCCCTCCCACAGGGAGGTGTGTCTGTGAGGAGGAATGTGTGAGTGGTGGGCTGTGTGTGTGATGCCACACGGGGAGGGCAAGAGGAAGGATGGCAGAGATGCGTGAGTGCCATGCTGAGGTGCAGGTATAATCCTGGGTGACATTTCTGGAAGAGACAGCAGATGACAAATTCCAGCAGAATCTAGTATTGTACCACGGACATCCGTAAGAACCAAGTCCTGCCTCTTCCTGGCAAGGAGGACACCACGTCTCCACCTCCCGCAGCAGGACTTCTATGGCTACGTCAGGGAGTTGATGGGTCTGGCCTGACACATGGCCAGGCCCCGGCAGAGTGAGCCTGGGAGTGGGGATGACACATGCCAGCCAGGAAGCCACCTGGTGATGAGTCTGCAGGCTTGTTGGCTGTCCTGGGCTCTGGGGAGAGAACCCCACCTCCACCCTCCCTGTGTCTCCAGAAGCCGCTTCCACACGCCGCCCCTGAACCAGACCCGGACCCCCTGACGGCAGTGCTTCCAGGAAGGATGGCGGGTGCCAGTGGACAGCAGCAGAGGGAGGTGTCCTTCACCAACCCTGTCTTGGACACCACAGATCTGTGATGGAAACCTTCCTTCCTCAAGCTTGCAATGTATTGCCTGCCCTCCCCAAATATAATATACTCTGGCCTTGCTTTACTTGCAATCATTGACAGAGTTGGGGAAAGGTTTTATTACCAATGTGTACTGTGACAGTTAGTAGCCAAAAACTGAGGCTAGAGGGATGGGGACCAGGGCACTGAGTGGTTACAAGGAACTTGTTGGGGCTCACAGCGTTGCGGGGTGGGGGAGGAGAGGGAAAAGAGGGAGACCTTTAAAAGACAACTGTGATGTCAAACGGCCCCCAACCGTCCTGTTCCCAACACCCAAGACCAGCTGTCACCCAGGCAGCCAGCGGCCTGAGACCTTCCTATGACCTCCAGTCCTGCCTAGGACCCCCTGACCTGCCCACGGATCCCTTCTCAGCTGAGCCCCAGGGCGCTCCTGGCTTTTAGCCTCCATGTGCACAGTGACTGGGTAGGGGACGGGATAGGGCTAGGGCGCTGGGCTGGGCGGGGGAGACGGGAACGGGGGTTAGACTACCAACAGCATGCAACAGATGCCCTGGCCTTGGGGCCAGCACCGTGTGGGGACCCTCCCCCTCCCCCTCCCGCCAGCCTCCCCCAGAGTCTGCCTGTCTGGCGGCCTTAGTCAATTCTAGCCCACGTGAAAGAACGCTGGAGTTCTGCATGCAGTCTTTCCCAGCTCTGGGGACCTGGCCCACCGGAGGCCTCGAAGCACCAGTCTGGGTATCTTGGGAGCCCGCCTCAGCTCTAGGGTGGAGGGGTGGGGGCAGGCCCCGTGCTCTCCCGGGGCTACCCTGGGGAGTGGGGCCAAGGGTTGTGAGGGTACCGGGGTGGGGTTGTCAGGGCTGGGTGTGCGGGCTCGAGGCCACAAGGGGACCGGAAAACTGGGTTCCGTCAGTGTCGGGGAAGGGAGGGACTGGAAAGAAGCCCCGAA